GTTTCCCTCTGAGAACTTGGCCCTGCCAATGAGTTATCATTCTAGAGGGAGGAGCAGCTCTCCCTAAAGCAATATCTCTCCTGCTTGACAGTATCAACGACAAAATGCCAAGGAACAAGTGCCTAAAAGTAACGATTCAGAAATCGACGCCAGAACAGCTCCCTCAAAACGAGAGCATACTACCACAAACTCTGATAATCAGCTTTCAGAATATGAGCATCCCACTCCAAGAAGGAGACAAAAACAATGAGACGAAATACTTCTGGCCGACTGTTCCCGCAACACCTGAAAGCCCAGATGAGCTGCTATCGAGACGATCCCAGATAATTCTCAAGACACACAGTCACCTGAAGAATTTCCATATGTGTTTTTCACTGAAAAAAAAAAAAATAAAATAAAAATAAAAGAGGCTAAAATTTTCTATATTAATCTTTGGCTACCGCGCTGACGGCAAAAAAAAAAAATTAACAAGATTTTTATCCAAAATTTCGAGGCTTCTAAAAAGGATAAAAAATATAACTTAATAACAAAAAATCATTTAGCCTTTCATCTTAATAACATATACAGATTTTGACAATAAAACTTTGGAATTAAACCTGTTTTTTAATAAATAAAAATATTTTTACTCATAAAAAATGTTATAGTTAGTACAAAAACCTATATTTTAAAATCTATTATATAGTAACGCAATTTGATAAAATACAAAGAAGAATCTGCAATGTTATTGATCCTGACCTGGCATCTCAGCTCCAGTCCTATTTCCACCGCCGTAACGTATGAATAACTTTATGAATTTAAGTGTATTAATATATTGGCGACAAGTTCTATCCTTCGTCGCCAGGACCCGCCATGCCACTTATATTGTAGCAAACCACCATCATTTCCTTCTGTATTCCATTGATGAGAAGTAAGTTACACTTGAAGCTGTTCAAGTGGAACTTACATCTTCCCAAGAGGATGTTTTCCCGCTCACTACAATCTTGGCCTGTTTAAGTCTAGGGTTAAACGTTATCCTTGTTGCCGAATGTAGTTTATCGTCATACCCAGGACAAACCAGGCGCTGGGATAGCTTCTCCAAGTTAATAGCATCAAGAATTCACCTTCCTATCAAATCGACCATGCTGAGATCTCATAGCCAGAAAGAGGATCTTTTAACCAATCGGCCACGTGCCCATATTGGAAATATTACATCCTTCAAGTAAGACACATTCAAATAGAGCCGAACATTTTTCTGTTAAACATGCGTGCGTATTCACGTGTTATTATATAAATGACTAGACGTGAAATTCAATAAATGCTAATTAATCTTTAAATTCAATTTTTTTTTTTTATTATATTAATGAACTGAAGTCAACTTTAATAAACACTGCTCTTTACAACGAATGTTTTTATGTCAATGGGTTTATAGAACCTTTAGTACACACTATTTCGTTTCAGCATATTATATTAATGAATTCATGAGGCCTTCAATAAGGACAAGATTTTAGATCAGAATTCCCGAAACCTGGGCGATATTGCTAACCCGTGGGCGATTTCAACTGTTAGATGGGCGATGAGCAACTGAAAAGAAATTGGTGGCCGATTGGAAATTTAGGTGTGGAAGATATCGGATTTTATGTATTAAAAGCGTATTTCAACATCAGCTATCTGAAAAAAATATACAAAGGAAATATGCAAAGAACCTGTATATATAGAAAAAAAATACAAGCGGTTAAATGGGAATAACTGAGTCACATTCCTAGATAAAATATTTTTTCGCAAACAAGGAATATCTTGACATTTCTATTGTTTTGAGAGAATCATTAACATTCAAGTAGTTTTTCAGTATGAGACATATTTTAATATATTTTTTGTTTATGTTATTTATATGGATACAATTTCTTTGAGTAAATGTTCTCTTTTAATTTATAAAATATTATCGTAATTCCCCATCTATAATACGCATTTTTTTCTAAAAAATTATAAGCAAAATCAGGGGGTGTATTATGCACAGCTACAAATTTTTTTTTTTTTAAATTGCAGTAAAATGAAATAAGAATTATCATAAAACTAAATTAGAATAATGTTATTCTATGTTTAAAACCATTTTTTAAATAAAAGTAGGAAACGCTGGCCGTAATGAAATGGGAGAGGAACAATTTATAGGATTTGATTACTAAACAAGGGGTGCGTATTATGCATGAATAGAAGCATTTTCCCACACTTTCAGCACAATTCTAGGTGTACGTATTATGGATGAAGGCTTTTAATACATGGGAATTACGGGAATTACATTTTATTTTAATGTTCGAGAAATTTCGTAAAAAAATATGCGTTCTACGAAATTCCACGTACATTGAAGCCGGCAAATGTAATTAATACTGTTTAATTAAAATATAGCATTTTCTCAAATAAGTTGTATCCATAAAAATAACTTATAAACAGAAAATTTATTAAAATATTTGTTGGATTTAAACCTTTTCATCTAGTATGAGACATAACAAAAAAACATTCGCTGATATTTTATTAGTTTTTCAGTATGAGACATATTTTAATATATTTTTTAAATATTGATACGCTTTTTATAATTATGAACAAAAATCGTTTTAATTTTTGTCAATACTTGCAACGCTAACCCTAAACATAAAACTAACCTTGACCATAAAAACAAATTATATATATATATATATATATATATATATATATAGTTTATGCAAAACTAGGTAATCCGTATGGGTAGACTCAAGGAGGATGATATTGTTCTTTAATACGGCAGTAGCAGCTGAAAGCGCCGCCTAAGTCGGTGTTAATTGTTACCTCCCTTTGGTATTTTTTTACTACATCATACAGTCAGTTTATGAACCAGTAACAACATTTTACCAAACAATTTTGATACGCTTTTGATTATTTACTATACAGGTGAGCGATGAAAAATAATTTCTATGTAAGAGTGGGTGATGGCGCCTAAAAGTTTGGGAAGCCCTACTTTAGACCCAACGTATTTTTACGTTAATGATTTCATGTGATTTGCAATATGCACTACACTTTAGATCAATTCTGTTTTTAAACTCAATGTTTTTTTAAGAATGAGGCAAAATCCCGAACTATTATTATCATCATTATTTACATTATTCGGACTATTGTCCTCATCTTTGTCGCCATATTTATCACAACGTTTCGGCCGTTGTACGCTCCGGCCTTCTTCAGGTGGTTGGAATTTCGAACTGAACCCTTTATTTCGCTCACTGGGGTAGACTGTTCTAGTTCCACGTGCCATGTTTGATGGATGTCAGTTATCAGTTATCTCCTGTTAATTTCCCTCTGAAAGTTCTCCACTGCCTTAACCAGGTATTGAACTCACACTCTTTGGGTCCTGTCACTGGATCTAACCAAGCCTTTATCCACATGTGTCTTATTATCATGTAATAAAAACATTGTCATTATTAAAGGAGATTTTTTAGGAATTGGCATGAAAGAAGTGATGTCGCATATCCTGAATTTATTATAAAAGTCAAGAATGTTGAATTAATAAATTCTAAACACTTCAAATACCTCAGTGGATGAATCTGTTAGGATAAATTTAGTATAGGGAATAAAGAAAATTGAGAACAGAATAGGCTGTATTCTTTGTACAGCGTCATAAAAGGCACAAACGAAAATATTAACCAAAGAACTAGAGACATTCTTAAATGGCCTCATCACATCAAGACGTGATGCATGGCGTCTTAATCATTTAAAAAGATCAAGTCTCATTTATATGGAACAGTGTTCTCAGATCAACGATTAAAATGGCTTCAAGCGAATGAATACTTTGGGTCTTAAAGACGATCGTTCATCAAACTGGCGCTACAGAATCACAAACGACGTGCTTTACCAAATAACTAAAACCAAATCACTTGACCACTTTCAAAAGTAACATCAAAAGAAATGGTTAGCACATGGACTCGAAGAGTAAATATTGATATGATAAAAATATTGACTTTATACGTTTCCAAAAACGAAATGTTTGGATGGAAATGCACATCACATCTAGAAAGAACTAGTGGACTTTTTTCTGAAAAACTGTTTGAAGAAAAATGTTTAACCTTGTTGCTCGAATAACACAAATGGTGTATCAAGAGAACGGTTATTCCTTTGACACCTTTATCACTGTATATACTTTTGTCTTCCTCAGCAATGTTTATTGTTTTAAAAAGCGATGATTAGAATTTTAATAAAACCCAAAAATATGACAGTGGATTGATATTTTTTGTTCTTGAGAATGGATAAAAAAAATATTAACCTTATGCGATTGAATAATGAATTTTGGTTTCATTGTAATTTATAAAATAGTAAATAATAAATATTGTATTGTCGTTGATTTACAAATTTTGATAATTTTTGTAATTTTTAATAAATTTTTGAATAAAAAGATTTCTTTTAACATTTGTTTCAAAGCAGTCAACAATACATCTTTATAAAAGGTAAATAATAAATATCGCATTTTACTTGGTTCATATATTTTTTTATAATCTTATAAGTATACATTGCCGAGGGAGTCAAAAGTGCATACATTAATAGCGGTGTCAAATGAATAATCGTCTTTTTCATACATCGTCTTTTTTTATTCTTATTTTTTTTATTTATTTATTTTTGTTTTTTGTTTTTTTTTGCGAGCACGAAAGTTAAATTTTACCGCCAAAGATTTTATAAATTTCACGGAAATGGTTAAATTCTTCATCATCATTTAGGATTGATCGATTGACAGATTGATTTGTCTTTTACAGGTTGACAACCCTTTACAGGTTATTTAAAGCCAGAAAATATTTTTAGATTTTAAGAATTTTTTTTTCAAGATAACAACGGTTTAGTGATACAAATCTTACTAATTAATCCATAGCTGGGGGAAGAAGAGGTGGATTCATATCTTTCCCAAGCATATTTGCGCTTAAGTGAATATAACGAATCCATCAGGAATTGGAACTCGTCTCAAGATTAACAATTCCAAGTTGTCATCTATTACACCATCCGCACATACAAGCTTATAACACCTGATATTCCTAAGCGGTCGCCCATATAGGTACTGACCAGGTTCGACGTTGCTTAACTTCGGCGATCGTACGGGAACCGCTGTTTCAATGTAATGCGGTGTAAGCCTTTATTTTGAATCGAAGAAGTTAAATAGTGTGTACGAGCAAACAGTAAAGTTCGGAGTGAACTTCAACTACACTTCTAAGATTTCCCTAACATTGTGTCACAATGGGTGCTGGGGATTTTTGCATCAAATTAATAAGTAAAGAGAGAAAAAGAGGCTTGTACAATGACTGGGCGGCGGCTGAGTAAACACTCAGACCAGCACAAGTAATAGGGAGATTCTGCAAACGCGACCTAAGAGCCAGCTTCCGGAGCGCCACCTTCATAGTAATCGTTAGCGAGCGACGAGATTCAAGATATTAAAATGATTGTCTCACTCATGTCAACAAAAAAATGTTACCGCCGCCATATTTTAGTTAGATCACGTGATCACAAAATGGCGCCATAATGGCTAATTTTTTTTTTCTTTATCGATGACAACTTATTTCATTCAGTCGCGTTCATTAATTACTCTATGTTGGAACGCTTTCTTCCTGATTTTGCGTTATGAAATAAATTCCTTTTCGATTTTGGGGGGCCGAACTCCCCGAAACGATATTACGAACAAGAGATTTGACATAGTGTATTAAAACAAGACATTTTGTTTGTAATTAGAAATTAATTTATTTTCGAAAATAAGACAGTCAGCAGATACAGACTTTCGATCAGATATGGTTGATTTTTCAGCGTGCCCACGTCGCTAGGTCGAATGTGACACAAGGTCAAAAATGATTTTCTAAGCGTAACACAAAGGCCAAAAGATAGAGCAGCCAATGAGGATCGAACACGCTATTCAGTCGTAATTGATTTAGCGACACAAACTTGCTAAACGTTACGCCACGTCGAAGTGCCCTTGCGATCAGACCAACACAAGGAATGTTAAAAGATTCATGTTAAAAAGATAAAAAAATAAAAAAAAAACAAATGAAAACTACAGACAAAAGTTCATTTTCTCCATTCATTTCTGTAGTTCACTGCTACCAGCAAGCAGAAATATTTCTTCTCCTGATGATGGCCATTTTAGCCGAAACTAGTCGAGGAATCTAAATGAAATAATAATAATAAAAATGAAAGAATATTAATCTACAATCCAGTGTGTCTGAAGATTTTAATTTTTTAATATTTTTTATTGTTCAATATATATATATATATATATATATATTATGATTACTGTATTTATTTGAAGGTATGTGTTGTTTATTATCATTTCCTTCAACTTTTTCTACACTCAGCAGGTGTTTCTGCATTAGTATTTATTTGTTTTTGTACAACTCACCTGAAGATCGGTTGTCGTATTTTTACTTTCTGATTTTGCTTATCTAAAGTTATATTTATCAACTTTGTATTTTCTGCTCTCGTTCATTCCTGGAGCACCTTCTGCTTACCTCGGAGTTCTTGACAAGATCCAGAGAAGGATATGTAATCTAATTGGCCCTGATCTAGCGTCTTGCTTGCAGTCACTCTCTCACAGACGCGCCGTCGCCTCTCTCTGTCTTTTCTACAAATACTTCCATGGTAACTGCTCCAATGAGCTGCTCTCTCTGGTTCCCAGACTCCATGAATTCAAGCGCCCTACGAGGCTGGCATCCCGCTCTCACCCTTACACCGTAAAAACCTTCAAATGTAGCCGTCTCTTCTACTCCAATAGCTTCATACCTCGCACCTCTCGACAGTGGAACACCCTCCCCAATCACTGTTTCCCTGAAAGCTATAATCTCCAACTATTCAAATGTAATGTCAATCGACATCTCCAGTTACCTTGATCTATCCACTATCCTTCTCCTCTTCCTTTCTCCTATCACTCTTATCTGCTCCCGCTCCAAACCCCCTGCATCCTAGTGGCTTCACGCCTTGCTTGGGGCACCATGCTAAAAAAAAAAAAAAAAAAAAAAAATTCATTTATCAATTAATAGTTCAGGTGTTAGAAGTTGTAATGACAAAAGTACGCAGGTGTAGGCTTTTATGAAAGCTTTATTCGAATGAGAATACAAGGTTCGCGTATAGTGTCCTTCTACAGTCCCAGTAAACAGAAAATAACTCTCTCAAAGAGGAGAGAACAAAACAAGGGGAGACCACTCTTGATTATTCATAACAGTACAGTCAACAAGCCAATATAAATTATTTTATCGTATGTTAAATAACTTCATAATTTCCAAATATTTTAGGTCTAAATCTAGATTTATCTTTCCATTTTATTTTTTTCTATCTTTTTCTAAACTTAACAATTTTTTTGATATTTGCGTTTGCTTATTTATGAACTTTGTTTTGTTTTCTTATGTTTTTGTTCATCAAAAAAAAAAAACGTAAATTTTTTTGAACTTCTAATGTTTATATACGTCCATTATATATGTTCCAAAGGTTTTAATAGCTTCGGGTGATAGTGGGGACAAGCTCCCACTGTCTATCAAAGGCATCCGTGTCATGCGTCATAAATAGACTCTGACAATTAAGTCCAGCTCCAAGTCGGAGCATGGGCGAAGGCGGAAAACTAACGCCTCATAACCAGCTGTCTCGGGTAGAATGGCCTTTCGACAGCTTAGGAAGACAGTCCATCTCGGGGAAAGGAAAATCGCGATTTTAAACCTAAACACAGAAAAGGCTATGGAAGGAAAACCTGCAGTGGAGTCCCGAAGGCGGTTGGCTGTCAACCCTAACAACTTTCCGGCAACTCCTGCAACAAAGCCGTCCCCAAATGCAATAGCCTGTATTCCACTGAATCTTGCCGGTACGGCGGGGGAGGTGGCATGTAATCTATGCAGTGGGCTGCCTCTATATACCATCGTCCAGGTTTGCATCCTGGAGAGGTTACTCCAGTTGCACTATCAAAGAAGTGAATCTTGACCAAACAGGGTGCTACCTTTAACTCGTAGGATAAATGGATGCCTACTACTATTGACTATTTGTGTTTTACGGTTCGTCAACCTTTGCAGGTTATTTAAAGCCATGTTTTGTTTTGTTTTTTTTTGTTTTTTTTTTAGATTGTAAGAATTTCTTTTTGTTTGTGAGATAATAATGGTTTAGGGATACAAGTCTGTAGAAGTGGATTCATACCTTTTCCAAGGATGTTTGTGCGTAAGTGTATATAACGAAACCAACTGGAATTGGAACTCGGCTCTCCGATTAACGATTCCGAGCCGTTGTCCATGACATCCACTCTTACAGCACCTGGTATTCCCAAGCGGACACCTATCTCGGTACTGACCAGGCTCGACGTTGCTTAACTTCGGTGATGTGTCCGTAAGCCTCTCAGTTGTTGATTCTCACAATCACAGGTGGACATTGAATGAAGCAAAGAAAGAACTGATATATATATATATATATATATATATATATATATATATATATATATATATATATATATATATATATATATAAGTTGAGTAATTGTGCTTGAGTATCTCAGGTTTAATTGTAACAAAAGAAGTTGATTCGTAAGAATTGATTTGTCTTGGTCTAAAAAGCAGATCGTCTGAAGGAATGGCCAGAAAGGAACTGCGTTCAAACTTTTGACGAAGCTAAATGTGAATATAATACAGGTTGTCCTAAATGCTATTTAAAAATGTTCTAACACGCCATATTGTTCATACTTTGTTACTTAGATTAACATAAATAAATGAAACATGGAAAAATTTACAACAGAACTAAGAACTAAAACAGTAGGATTTTATTTTGGATTTAACAATGTCTTCATTTTGTATCTGAAGAGAATACTGTCGACACTTTCATGTCAGGAAACCACCACTGGATCACATGATTCTTTGATTGTTTCAATGTTTTACTCAACATGGCTCGATTCTTCAAAGATGTAGAAGAGAATTGAAGCAACAGAAATGTGGTTCTACAGAAAGATCCTGCGAATACCATGTACCGAAAATGTGAACAACGATGAAGTTTTAGATAAAATGGATAACAAACAGGAAACTTATATTGAACAACAGCAAGAGACAGTTGAAATTTCTAAAGAAAACAATGCGAGCAGAAGGCTTGGAAAATGCTGAAATTACTCAGTCCAATTTCAGAGACTGGTTAATGAAGATATTAGCTGAGTATGTGGGACAAAGCTCATTTCCATTTGAATAGATTTTGGTTCTTCCCTCAATTGTGAATGTTTTCATATGTAATTTTCCTAGGATAATTGAAGTTCTGAAAATAAAAAGAAATAAAAAATACGAAAAATGTGACATGTTATGACATTTTTAAATATCTAGGTGACTTTTGGAACACCTTGTATAAGTAACATCTGCATTGTAATAGAAGTCCTTACCTAGTACGCCTCAACGTAGAGTAATGTTTAGCAGGCTTGTTTGGTTGATCATTAATATTTAGTAGTGAGTTCGGACCTGATTGGCTGTTCCATAGATGTACCTTTACGCCAAAAGCTTGCCTTGTGCCAGAACTAAGCAAAGCTTAGTAAATGATAACTCTACTTTTGATGTTTTTCCTTGGCATGTGGTAATGGTTGGCGAGCTGGTCTAGTTGACAACTACAACTGAACAGTGAGTTCGATCCTCACTGGATCCTTTATATTTGTGGCCTTGTGCCAAAACTAAGTAAACTATAAGTAAATTATAACTCTGGTTTCTGACGATGTGTCTTGGCATTGAATAATGGTTGGCGAACTGCTCTGGCTGAACTCATTCATTGTGCATTGGGTTCCATCCTCATTGGGCACCCCATACTTGTAGCTTTGTATCAAAAGTAAGAAAAGGAACAGGGCAACTCGGCATGAGCAATTGTTAAAAAGAGGTAGATTTACTAATACTTACAGCTTAGTAGTGAAGTCGATTTTCATTGGGTGCTTCATACCTTTGGGTTTCTGCTTTGAACAAGAATTAGTAAACATGTTAGTGCCTCGCCATGGAGTAATATATAAGTTTGATTCGTCAAACATATCTTTATTTAATAAAATAAACTCTTTTGACGAAGAGTAACTGGAATCATTTCCAAATCGCACTGGAAAATTAAAATATATTTTTGAATAAATATTACCTTTCTATTTTTTTCTTTTGAATCTGAAAGAAACGAACGTGTTTTCTAAATTATTCAAGCACACATTCTCCAAAAAAAAATTTTTTTTTCAGCTTCATTCATTTGTTTTTGGTAAAGATGCAGGTTCCCCATGTTCACACATGATATAGCTTATTTTTTTTTTTTTTTTTTTTTTTTTTACTGAAATAATATCTTCTGGGATTTCTTTTTATATGGCTAAAGAAATGTTTCTGTGTGGATTTGAGCGTATGCTTGGAGTTTCTCGTAATGAAAGAAACGTGACTTTTAAAAATGCCGTTATTATGTTGCACGAGGATATGCAGTATATATATATATATATATATATATATATATATATATATATATATATATATATATATATATATATGAAAAGTCCAAACAAAACACAAAAGTTTTCGTATATATATATATATATCACTCGAAAAAAATACACTTATATACATTTATATATATATATATATATATATATATATATATATATATATATATATATATATATATATATTTCAACTTTATTTCAATATATATATATATATATATATATATATATATATATATATATATATATATATACTACAGCATGGCCGGCGTTGCCCGTGCTTGATTCAAAAATCGTATGACTCATACAGCAATCACTATCACTTGACTTAAATTTTTTTACCCTTCCTTGCCTTTAAAGGAGTGCCCTGCCATGCTGATGTTGCTACATGCCTTACTTCTTGCCTATCTCACACTGCAAAATTTTTCTAAGCTCTATACTAAACATTAAATCTGTTACGAAAAAGAACTAAACAAAATGAACACAAAACGATCAGCTTTAAAAAAAGACTCGTAACTGGAAAAACCGAATGAAAAAAGAATGTTAACAACAAATACTTTTTCACATCCAACCCAGTTCTACGGAATCAGAATCAACGTCGAGTTTAAGCAAGCGAATGAGCCAACTGGAGTAAAGTGCCATGCAGATTTAAATTTTTCCCACTTGTGACGAATGAAGCTATCGATATTTTTTTTGCATGCTAGCATGCTAGTTCACATTCGTGTCAGTCAGCTGTTGGCTCACACTGGCCAATAGAATCTTCCTGCCTATTCGTGGCAGCCAGCTATAGGCTCTCACTCTGGCCAGTAGAAAATGGTCGCAAACGACATGAAAACTGCCGTAAAAGCATGAAAAAATCGATTATTTCCACTATCAATGGGAGTTGGGAAACGCAAAGTCGGTCTTGGCCTCGCCGCTAACTTGGAGCATGTGCATGTAAATGTTGGTGCAAATCCGTCGAAAATTGCGGCCGTGCATTCGTTACACACACACACACACACACACACACACACACACACACACACACACACACATCCTGCCTTTTATAGATAGAGATATTTCAACTTTATTTCAATATATATATATGTATATATGTGTTTATGTGTGTGTGTATGTATGTGTATATATATATATATATATATATATATATATATATATATATGTGTGTGTGTGTGTGTGTGTGTGTGTGTGTGTGTGTGTGTGTGTGTGTTGTAAGTGAGGTGGACATCGAAGTTATCTATGGGTGTTGACTTTGATGTCCGATTTTATATTTACATACACTATTTTAATATATTAAATAATATTATTTTTAATCATTTTTATCTTTGTATATTTGCTCGCTTAAGTTATATTTCAGTAAGTGGTGAGCAATTATGTAATGACATTTTCAGTCTTAAATATTTATTGGTTGTTGTATCCGATTGTCTGGGTCAATGTCTGTGGATGTGTGTGCATGTATTTATAATTGTCTACGTGTATGGAAAGTGCATTCACTTTTAATCGTGTATGTATGTACGTGTGTGTTGGTTTTCCTTTCCCCCCACTTCCCTTTTTTTTTTTTTTTTTTTTTTTTCTTAAACGATCGTAGTGATGTTCTCTGTCTCGTCTCTTTTTGTGTGTGCATATATATATAAATATGTCTGGGTGCTTATATATTATAATCTGATTGCGTTTGTTTTACGCGTGAGTTTAGGATCCCATTCACACACTCTTAGGATTAAAATGTATACATTGTCAAAGGACCGGATATAAAATTAGCTAAAGTAACTTCAATGAAGAAATAAATTGAATAACATTTATATTTCTTCTTTTCTCCTCAGTAATTTTATAGTTGTAAACTTAATAGCGATTAAATTTTGATTTTGAAATTAGCAGTTTTTAATTTTAATATTAAATTTTATCATATAATTTAGCAATTATTGGTTAGAATAAATTCTTTTTTAATACTACTCATATTTTAAACATCTGAATAGCTATTATAACATGACTTCGTTGTCAAGCTTTTTGAATTTTCCTATACTTGTATTTTGATTGGTCCATCTAGCTTTTTTAACAACGGTTTCCCCTTGTGAAGGATTGT